TTTCTGTGCGACAACGAACCCCGTCGTCCCATAATATACAATTGACCGTGTAGCCGAAAACTTTTCAATTCAAAACTTGCTCTCTTCTACCAGAGTTCGACCGAGCAAACGTTTCAAAGCAATTTCAAATCGTTTCAATTAACCTAGTGGAAAATTAGCTGAATTCTACAGATGACAAATGACGAAATGTGGGTTATGGCAATTGAAAAGCTTGATAAGACTACAATGAGAGAAACTAAGAATGAAATTGTCAGAAATCACGATACATCTTCGTATCGGTTTTTTTCTCATCAAGTAGTTATAGTATAAAAAGAATCGAAAATTGAAATAGTCTTTTAATTTTCTTTACATATTCGATTGATATCTATAAAAAAAGCTTCCAATTTCAATCTCACCTTTCATAACATACAATATAAACTTTGAAAAACGATCTACCTGATACTTTTTTTGTATTGTCGTCTTGACATCGGCGAAAGACGTTTAAATAGTGAAACCAAAAACCGAGGAGGTGTTAAGGAACCGGTCTTACCAATAATGGCAAAAATTGGACACATTGGTGTTGACATTGAAATGTCGGTGACATTGAGACGTTTGTGCAATTGACGACGCGACGGTTTTGCGAAGGAAACCCAAAAAGGGAATGCAAACTATTGTTGCAGATTGTATTTGTATACAAGACTGTAAATAAAGTTGGTGTATTTATGAATGAAATGCCCTTCTGTTTGACATTTTCAATTTTTTTTTAGTTGTATGTTTATTAAAAGGGGATTTCTAAATTAGTAATTAGATATTATTAATATTTAAAATAAATGTATCCTAATGAATCTGCTGACACAAAGAGGTGCACCTGATGATATCATGAACATAGTATACAAATTAATCACTAACAAGTCGCTAATGAGGGCTAAAGAAGGACTAACTGAAGAGCTTCCCGCACCAGGAGATATCAGGCAAGACGATGGAGACTATCGTTTCAATCCACCAGTATTAGTACAGGTTCTATAAAGCGAGGGAAGTCCTGAATATGGCTGTATCTACTTCAAAAACTACATGGTAGTCAACAATACCCCTATGGAACAAGTCACTATCCCGCAAAAGACTTGAGAAGTCAGATCAACGAAGCGTCCGTAATTTTAAGCTGCTTACGATATACTGTTTAGTTAAACAAATTCATGCATATCGTTAGTAAAGTGCGTAGATATACATGACTGCATCCGCCCAATAACAACTTACGACATTGAAATACGAGAAGGCACAAATAAACCTAAGAGCATTGGGTTGGGCATATGGGAAACTAAGCTCCTACATTAGCGGACAGAGATTCAGATTTAGTTGCTGGAAAATATTCAAGATAATCCCGTCCAGTAAGTCTCTGAAGAAAAAGAACGTTGTTAAGTCGACGTACCTTGATTAGGGATGCTGATATTTTTCCACGGTTTCCTGAAATACATCCTACATTAAGGCTAGGTTCTCATTAAGCGGCCAGAAATCTGAGCTGTCTTTTATAATTTGTAATTATATGATAATAATAAAATAAGTAATTATACAATATGCTTATGGGATTTCGGTCTGATTGACCTAGCCGCCTAATTCGTACCTAGCCTAAATCTAAAACAGGCAATAAAATCTTCTTGTAATACTTCTTGTCCCGTTTTTTAGAAATTGGATGTTCAATTCCTCCCATTGTATCATTGTAATCCATTACCACTATTGGGTTGTTACCACTTCCCCTTTTCTATTTTGCACCTTCTTCAATTTAATAGCATAGACATTTCTTCTTTGAATTCCAATAACTTCTTCTATCATCAATTTTGTGTCCTTGAGGTCTTTGGGTATTTCTTTTCTGGATAATTTTATGCTGCCAGAGACGTAACTACTCTTAGACTAGGAGAATAAATATGAATGAAATAATGATTACCTTCATCAACGTGAAGAATATAACAATATGAAATATTCGTTTAGATCACTGATTGATAATGCAAAACAGATATTCGACTGCTTTTGTTTGGTTCTTTTGTTATGGATTTATGTACGGTGGGTACTTCCGTTCCCTGCAGTATACATATACATATTTTAGGCCGTTATCTCCTATGAAAATGGTTCAATCAGTGCGTTAAAGAATGTATCAGAGCGGGAACTGATGGAGTTGGAGTAAGAGTTCTGAAATATGTGACCACTGTTGTTGTGAACCATCTTTTTCTTATTTTGAATTGGTCATTATTGAGGGTGTTTTCCCGTCATCTCTTAAAGTTGTCAAGGTAATACTAGTTTTCAAGAACGGTCACTTAGAGGCCCCAGTGGGCCCCTTGTGCATACTCCCTTGGAGGCTCGAGATGGTAGAGAAGATCTCGTTAGGTGACGACACCGCTTACTCGTTATAAGAACGGTAATATGACCTATATTGAGAACTAGAGACCTATAGCTATTTGCAGTATTTTCTCTAAAGTATTTAAAAAATTGTTAGTAACAGGATTTTCGATTTTCTTGACAAATTAGATGTTATTAGTAGTTGCAAGCATGGTTTCAATCGTTAGTTGTCTACTGATTATGGTAATTACGTGGTTGGATTGCATACGAGATCCAATCCTGACTTGTCGAACCTTTGTTCGGATGAGTCTTCCGCCAACATTTTAATTTTGCATGGTTATATTTTGGAACCGTTGCTGTTCATACTTTTGATACTATTGATTAACGACCAGTGCTCAATTTTGTAGATTCTCATTTGATTATGTATGCGGATGACTCATCTGTTGCGGATGCAGATCAGTTAATTTAATGCCAGCTGAATTTGCAGACCACACATAATTTCTTGGTCTGGTCTTAGATTGTAGGCTATCATTCGAAAATCACATAGCACCGTTATTATTAGCTATCCTGGAACTAAAAAAAAATTACATATAAATTCACTACTTAATATGTAATTAGGTATGTATACTGACTTGTCTCAGCTACAGATGTAGCGCAAGTAAATGAAATAAATATTATCATTATACAGGGTCCGGTATTGCAAATCTTTTTCTTTAATAGTACGTGGTGGCATGACTGGAATTAGTTGCGGCGCGTTAGTGTTTTTAGCTTTTAACATTTTTGGGTGAATTTGTTTGAACATCATCAGCTGTCAAAATGTTTCGGGACAGAGCAAAGCGCGTTTGCCGTAGCACTACTTTTCACAAGACCAGTCAATCGACGCGATGCAGCGGGCGTCCCGTCTATGGTAGGATATTTTCCTCGAGGTGCAGTTCCTGCCGGGGGATCCATCTTATCGTCGGTGGAAGTTTGTAAGGCAGTTGGAAATGTGTCCCGCTAGAGACCAGGAGCAGTACGGACCGCTAGATTATATGCAAACATCAACGCAGTCCGTGCTCCAGTTTTGGGATCTCGTAGGTGTTGTGGTTCTAAACATGTGACTGCCCTGGGGTTGTCAGATCGTTCAGCTTGCCGAATTCTTAATGATGACTTACAGCTTCATGTATACAAAATGGTACTCGTACAACGATTTTCTGAACACAGTTGTGCGGTTCAGTGATGAGGATATATTTAGTAGAGATAGTTTGGATATATTAATCCAAACGAACTCCAAGGGCTCTCTTCATTTGGATCGGGTAACAGTTTGGACTGCAATATCAAGAGTAGGGTTCATTGGGCCAAATTTTTTCGAAGAGGAGAATTCCACAGTAACAATAAATTCATTGCGTTATGTGGTCATGCTTGGTAATTCTTTTTTGCTAGCTCTTGAAAATTTTGCTGTTTCAAAGTATAGTTTTAGCAAGATGGGGCAACCGCTCACACATCACTAGTTTCAATACGTGTTATGAAAGTAAATCTTCCAATGCGATTTATCTTTAATAGAGGTAGTCCGCACACTCGCCTGATTTTACCCCATGAGATTGGTTTCAGGGTCCTGCAACTCTGGACGGATTAAAATACAATATTCGTCATGAAGTAGTCAACATACCGGTTTCTATGCTGGAGACACAACGGTGGACACTTGCCAAATATTCTTTTTAGAAACATTTTGTATCAAAGTTACCATATTAGTGCATAATGGATTACAATTATGCAGTAATAAAAGAAAAACTGTAAAGTGAATACGGATAGTTAAAAATAATATATTGAAAGAAAAAAGATTAAAGATTAAATAAATGGTAAATGAAAAAGGGTCATATTTACATACTTCAAAAACCTTCCATGAACCAGCTTTGTATGAGCAACTACTTATAGCTAATTTACATCCGCAAGGGACCACCACCATATAAATATATTTCTTTTCGAATTTTAAACTGAAGTTTCTTCAGGTATAACTATCCTTAGGTACACAGGTTGTACCTATACTATACTATTGCATAACCTTTTATTGAGAGCAAAAAATAAGTATTTGTACATTGGAACATCTTAAAGAAATGATAACAAAGATAATAAAAAATTGTATAGAAAAATCAATGACCGTTGTTATTAAATATGTATAATTTATAACATGAAGAAGAGGGTTGTAGCCGTTCCACCGATTCATTCGTCGTTCGTTTCCCTTTTCTGGTACGTTTTTCGTAAACACCGCGTCTACAAATCGCAATTTATTAACGTGAAGAGAGCAAAAAGGAAAAAGGGCCAACCGTCCGGTTCGGGCGCCGAGCCGCCGTTGCCTCCGGGGGGACGACGACAAGATATCAACATGAATTTAATATCGTATTTCGTAACAAGCGGCCAACTACGACACTGAAAGGGGCAGAAGAGGAGTAAAGCGGGAGGATTCCCCGTTGGGTCGTGAAGAGAGGAGGAAAAGCTTCGAAAAGAAAAGATCGACAAAAAAAAAGAATGAAAAATAAAATAAAAACGCCGCAGGCGGCGTCGAAAGTAGTTCGAAAGCTCGCTCCGCCCGGCGTCTGTGCGTCTACCAATCGCAATATGGCGTCGGCCGCCATCTTGAATGGGAGGTTAGGCCGGCGACGCGAGCGCCCCCCTACGGTTTAGTGCGCAACTAACGCGCACATCAACCAAGTGTTCCGTTGGCGTTCGCACGTTCCGTTCAATCCTCTGACGAAAGAAAATTGATTGCCAGTGTAATTGTCGATATTCAATTGCGGAGACGATCGAAAACGGTTAATTAATTCAACTACCCAGTGTATGTTATCATATTTTAAGGACTACTTCAATGATATCCTCATCTTTGTACATTTTCAAAAAGTGACTTGGCTACGAATTTGTTTACATTAGTTGATTTCAACATTTTTGTTATTAACTTTGTTGTGATTAATGGATTGTATGCAGTTGGTGAAGTGACTGTTTGTAAATAAATAGATTTTTACAGACTTATAAAACTTTGGGAAGTGTTTAGATAATTATTATATTGGTAAGTACTTAGACAATAATTATTTGTTTACATTAATTACTTGATTAAGAAATCAAATAAAATTGATTTAAAAATATCAAATTTCCAAAAAAAACTTTATTTTCTACTGCGTGCTTGCATAAAGCTTTGATAAAATTGGGTTATTAGGATTTCTGATACATACAAGTAGGTACCATAACTATGTTAATAGTTATTATCTAACTAATAATCTATTAATGTTTGAGGAAAGTCAAGTGTGAATTTATGGTATAGAATGATTTGCAAAAAATGCTCAACAGGGATTCAAAACTTAAATCATATTTCCGTTGTTTATAATTTCTTTCAGTTTTAAAATTTTCTGCACTCCTTATTAGTGTTGTTTTTCGGTGTTTTCAGAAACTACCGCCATACATGACAATGCAGATATTTAAAAGAAGAAGATAATACAAGATTGTATGTAATAGAAAGAGATAAATATGATACACAACCGCAATAGCATAGCTGGTATATTAAAATTTTATACCAACTAACACTTTACTAACCATGTATATTTGTAAATTGGTGATATTGATAAATTGATACTTTGTCATGAAAATATGATTTGTTAATTTTTGAAGAATTTGTCACGTGTCATAGATGTCCCACTTTTTAAAAGGGTTTTAAAGTTAATTTTAAAACTATTAACTTATCATGAATAATTCGCATGAATATAGCTAGTTTAATCTTTTATGTAACATTACTTGTTTTTTGTTGACTTAACAATTACTGTTATTGCAGAAATTGAGTTTCTGCAGAACTTTGTTTTTGAGGATACATGTTTACCTATATGGATAGATTCCCCACCATGAAATTAATAAGAAGGATAGATGCCTGTAGTGTAGGATAGATGCTCTATGGAATAAAATAAGTAAAACACATAGTTTTAAAGTGTTTTATTTGTTATAATTAAACTTAAGCATAAGTCTAACAAAAAAATCAATGTTGTAGTTTTAACATGCACAATCATACCTAATTGACATTAAGTAGCAATTATTTAAAATTTACAAAAAATCAACACACTTAATATAAAGATCTATTCTACTTAATTTAGATTGAGCTGGAAAGGCTTTTCAGTTTTCCACATCTTGAGCATAGTTTTTGAAAAACATACAGTTTATCTGTATGTTTGTGTTTATCTGACTCAATAAACACTTAATCCAGTCGGATTTTTGTATTTTTGTAGTTATCAAGGCATTCTATGCAATAATTTTCGTCTGTATCTTTAGGGCTTTTTTTTATCTATCTTATTTTCTGAAAAACATACAGATTTCGTGCAGCCACATATGGCACAATAAACACTTAATCCGGTCGGATTTTTGTATTTTTGTAGTTATCAAGGCATTCTATTCAATAATTTTCGTCTGCACCTTTAAGGCTTTTTTCTTTATCAATCTTAGTTTTCTTCACGGGCAAACTTTTAGTTTTCTTTCCTTTAGTTTTATAGTAGTTATTGGGTGAATTGTTTTCATTTTCACTGTAAATAATTTGTTTTTTTCGTGATCCTGGACCGTCTTTTACCTTGGCTCTTTTAATCATGGTCAAAAGAATTTTGTTTTGGTGAAGCTTTATCTACAATTTTTTAAAGTGTTTCTTTTTCTACTGTACTATCTAGAGACTATGGAGGTGTATCATCACCAATATCAACATGTCATCACCATATCATAGTAATTTTCAGGATGGAATCCCAAATTGTCTGGATATTTCGTTGATCCTCATGTTTTTTTTATCAATTTCATCCAAAGCTGCGGGGGAATGAAGTGTGTGGTGACTGCGCTTCTTATTTAAATAATTAATTCTTTGTTGCGATTTTTTGCAAACGAGGCGCCTATCCCATTGCGGCATCTATCCCGGTTTTAACCCTAACTACGTTCTTCATAAATGTTAACTAACAGCACAAACTATATAAACCAAGGTATTTGTTTACAATTAATAATTATATTAAAAAAGTCTAACTTGTTAGGACATTGATTTAAATTAGAATTAGTTTCGGAGTTTTCACCTAAAACTAGGTATACATAGAAAGTAATTATAAAGCTTGCTTGATTAAGGCATAGTCTGTATGTAATTAGGTACAATCAGTCATTGCTTAGATAATCTAAGGAGTTAAATTCTTAAATAGGCGTTGATCACCGTCGACATTCACATCAAGCAATTCAACATTTTATATTTTTGCAATAGATGTTTAATAATATGAAAAGGCTTTCCATTTCAAAATTGTTTGTTGTTGTTTATTCTTCTATTACTTAACATTACACTATATTTTCTACATCGAGTTTTAATTACTTGCATAAAAATATTTTAATTAAGTGTGTTACATTCATCCTTCCTTCAGCTAAATATTTAAACATTTGTCATTTTCTGTTCTCTTTAATTACTTGCTATCCCTTACTTTGCAAGTGTTATTTTATAACAATTCTTATTGATCCTAAAATGTGTACATCTTAATATTTTCATTGTTCCTTCAGTTTTGATGATTAAATACTTGAATAATAATGTAACGTATTGTGATTTAATATAACACAATTTTTTATTGCCGGTTTAGAACTGAATCAAAAAATTGATTCAACTTAAACTAAAACTAGAACTAATAGTAGCACTATTACTAGAATTAACACTAGACAACTGACGTTACGTTTATAAAAAACATCAATGCATTCAATGAAAATTTATTGAATGCCCAAAACCTACTAGCGATCCGCCGCGAGGTATCTATTGTAGTGATAATTAGTCAATTACAGAGGATCTAAGTATTATCTAGAATAAATCAATTTTTGAAACAAACCCACCTCTAGCAAACCATGTCCACAAGAGTTTACCAATTCAATCTTATGGGCATAACGTAATCTAACTTAATCCAATCAAAAATACAAATGCATCACAAAACCAAGATAAACCCAGAAGTTCCTTACCTAATCCCATCACTGAACCACAATTAGCTCCAAACGAACATTTGGCATAGCTTCCGGTAGGGTGGCAGAAATTACGCTAACTAATAAGTCGAATCCCTTGTTGAGGAGGACACCAACTTTTTCATATCAGTCGTCAAATATAAAGAAGAAATACAATCTACGACGTGAGTGACAAATGGCGAAAATTTTTGCAACCAAATTGATTGTAAAACGAATAATATAAACAAATAAGAAATGAAGTTGATGCGTATCGAATTGAAGTTTTCAACAATATTTAAATAACATAGATCCCAATAACCACGAAATACGGAAACCAACAAGACGAAATACGAAGAAATCTAATCAATTTTGTTGGTGGAAAATGAAAACTTGCTAACTGATGAAGAAAAGTGTATTGGTTTTGCAGAACACTTAGAGAAATTATTTAGGTCTCACACGTTCAATATTCCTAATTTCATAACGTCTGTGATAATGAATATAAAGAAAACCAAAATCCGGTTTTGAACTGTAACTTCCAAATTGTCGAAGTGAATGAGATACGGAAGATTATTTTTCAGATTTGACCAAATCCCTAACTCGGTTATAAAAAATCTACCGGAAAAAGTGGTGCATTTCTCGAAGAGACTGTTCATTGAAAACCTGGAACTAGTTAGTTCCCAAGTCTTAAAACCAGGGAAGCTCAAGAACAACATCACTAGCTACCAACCGTTTAGTTTATTATCTATATTTTCCAAAATCTTAGAAAAGATAATCTATAATTGTCTATACAATAGACAATCTAAATACGATTGTGCACTTCCAGTTTGGATTAAGAAGCCAGTTTTTGAACAGCTGTCAAATGCAACAATTATCGAACATAATTGAAAACGGATTTAAAATTGAAAGCATTGAAACAGTAAGGTGTCGGGTTACTACATGTATTGGTTTCTGGTTTGCTAAGGTTTTTTCCAACTTGACTGGGTACTGTTGTTTTCAGTTCCGTTCGGGGCTGTACGAACATGTTCGTTACACAAACATCCTCGTACGATGAAAACGATTTAGTGGCGACGTTGGTTAGTTATGTTTCCAATCATTTGGCAACACAACTGCTCATTTTTTCCTCCTCTCCAAACGCAGCAAATGTACTGTTCATGTTTTCCTCTTTTTTACAATTGCGTCGTCATACCGAGTACTTTCTTGAGGCTCCTTTTCTCTGTTGGATGTGCCCAAATCTTCACGTCTGATATGAGACGTTTTTGATATCCAGTTGATAGCCCGTTTTAACTCACAATTTCAGATTATTGGGCACTTCAAAGTATTCATTAAGTTTTTGATAATTTTTAATGCAAAATGTGACCAATATGTAATGCAAAGAAATTTGTTAAACAAAAATACCACCAGTACATGTGGCACTATATGTACTATATGCCTGTGTTTTCCACGAAATTACTTTTATGTAATGTTGTAATATACATATATTTTTAATTTTCTAGTCTTTCATATAAATAGCTTATATATAATAATATACTAATAATTAATAATATACTAATATGAAGTAACTTTTCATGAAATCATTAAGTTTATTTAAAAACGTAACATAATAGATTACAAATACGGGGTGTCTCACGTAACTGGTTCGTTAGAACTTTTTTAGGTTTAAAGGTTTTAAAAAAAACCATTCATATAACAACACCTCTAGTTCAATTTATCGTTTAATTCCTATATTTATTTATTGTAGTTTCTCTCATATTTGTAAATTTATCAAAACATGCAGAAAATGCAGGAAACCGTTTGTATTTTTATTAGAAGGCCATGACATTTTGACAGTTTTTTGTTTAATTTATTTCTATTATTATTTGTACTATTAACTACGATTGATAATCTTTTAGTTTACTAGCTTTTACTTACCAAAAATAACAAACAGAAGATCAAATAAATGAAACTATTAGAACAAAAAGTTAATGACAAAAATTAGATTTGAATAAAAACATAAATTTATAATATAAATTTGTTATTAAATTGAATTTGGAAATGCAATAAAATACATTAAATTATTTATTTCGTTGTCTTCATCACTGGTGACCGGAAATATGC